CTCCCCCACCAGCATGAGCGCCGCCTCCACCATGTCTAAGGGATCTGGCTGCTCCTTTGCGATGAGGTCGCGCATGCGATGCAGCTCCCGCCGCGCCGCGGCGCAGTGCAGCCCCGCGCGCGCCCAGTGGCGCAGGCCGATGAGGCGCGGGTCGCTCCAGGTCGCCGCGCGCTCGAGCGCGTCCCAGGCGTCCTCTCCGAGGGCCTCGAGCTCGTCCAAGGCAGCCTCTATCTGGCACAGGTCGCCCATGCGGCGCAGGCAGCGCAGGACGGCGGCGTCCGTCGCGTGCCGCCGCGCCGCGTGCGCCGCCCATTCGGCGGGCCCGGCGCCCGCGCCGGGCGGGGGCGAGGCGCCATGGGGCCAGCGGCGGGCGGCGAGCAGCGGCCACGAGGCCAGGGCGTTGGCGCGCCAGGCGCGGCTGACGCACGCGGCGGCGGCCATGTCTGGCAGGGAAGTAAGCTCCATGATGGACGCAAAAACCATGGGCGGCAGGTCCGGGAGCACTGATGCGGTGCGATAAGGGGGGGAGTGTTGGCAGTGGCGCAGTGTGTTGAGGAGTGAGCGCATGCCAACCCCTGGGAGGCTCCAGCGGGTGCATCACCGTTGATGAAAGGGTGCAGGGTGATCGGCCAGCAGGTCACTGCTCCACCTGAGCCAGCAGCACGACCTTCACCCTGCTGGGCCAAGCGCGCCGCTTCCCGCACCTGGTCCACCCATTCCTGCCGTCCCTTTCGCATAGCTTGATTGCATTTTGGACTTGCATCAGATTGAGATCGCTGCACTCATGGCCGATCGCTGCACGTGTCGATAACAACGGCGTGACACTCCTATTTTGGTATGTGAAATCATGAAAGGGATCAATGACCTTACGAACCTTGTGCCACACTCGTTCAGGGCGGCGCTTTCTTGGATCATTGGAAGAAGTGTGGCCGGGTGGCTGTCATGGCCATGCAGCACGCTGAAGCTGGCCATGCAGCAACAGTAGTACAGTGGCGTCGCTGAATCCAGCCATGTAGAAAACATTGTGAACTTGCAGGACTTGTGGCATCAGCGAGGATTGGCATGGCCAACCACAAGCAGGCCAGGTTGCTGCTTGTTTTCAACAGCTGTGATCACAGTCGTCTCGGCTGGCACGCCCTGCCGCCCCAGGTATGCTGTTGCAAGCGGCGGTGTGCCTCAACCAGGGCGAGCACACCGCCAGAGCGAGCAGTGTTTGCAACACCATCTATGTTTTACAGCCTGACAGGGCAGCACGGCAGGGCCACGGAGACAGAGAAGCGTCCAAGCAGACTGGGCAGCAGCAACGGAGGGCGTGAGTTCCAATACAGCTGAGAGGAAAAATTTGCGCACAAAAACTAAATCTTGCAGCGATCTTCTAACAGAGGCATGTGGGTGGGGCGCATCGCGGCGTCGCAGCCAACGCGCCGCGGTGAAGATGCGCACTACTCGCTCACAAAAACACGTAAACAGCGATGTGCAGCCGGCACAAGCGACTGCGCCCATCGCTTCAAACCAGCAGCCTCGGTCGATGAAAGGTCTGCGGCATGCGCCGAGGCATCGACGGCAGCTACTTCAGAACGACCTCCGCCCGCCTCAGCGCCAGCCGCGCCTGCACCGCGTCCGGCGGCAGTGCCCGGAGGTAGCCGAACAGCTGCGCGCCCGCGTACCGCAGCCCAGTCTTGGGGTCAGAGTAAGGGGCCTCGAGGCCGGTCAGATCGCAGTAGCGCTTGGGGGGGTATGTGGACGGCGGCGCCTCCAGGTTTGGGTACGTGGGGGCGCTTGCGGGAAGCTCGTCATAGCCCTCCGCCTGCAGCATCTGCCGCAGCCGCAGCCAGCGCTTCTGCGGCGGCGGGTGCCTTGGGCCCGGCGGGTGGGGCGCGCCGGGGCCCGCGCGCTTCCGGACGCCGCCGCCGGCGTCGGCAGCACGCGTGTCGCGAGGTGGCAGCTTGAAGGGGGGGTCCAGGGGCAGGAACCAATCCTCCTCGGCAAAGGGCTCGCCGGGTGGCGCCGGCGTGGCACTCGCGCTCGCGCCAGCACGTACGCGATCGCTTCCGCCTTCGCCTTCGTCGTCTGATGGCGGTGCGGAGGAGCCGGCACGCTGACGTTTGCCAGTCATGGCCCCACGCCGTGTGTGTCCCTGCTGATGCCTGCAGGGCGCGTGCTGCGTCTCCCCTGTAGAAGCAAACGTTGCACTCGCCGCGGCAGGCTGCGTGCTGCGTGCTGCGAGACGCAGTTCTATACTCTCTGGCACCGACAGTCGGAATCAATGTGGATATGACTCATGAACACACGCACATATGCCAAGCGTGTGGTGCTTGGCTCATATAAGCTTAATAATGCTCAGATCACCCCAGGAATCATCCCAGGAAGCTGCCTCGGGCTCTCACGTGGCATGGCAAATGCTTTGTGGACCACTGTATTCCAGCAATGTATTAGCGTGTTTATTGTCTACTTCGGCGAGTATAGCGCCTGTGGTAGTGCAAAATGGTCGCGATTGGCAAAGGGGCGAGCGTAGGCGGCCTGATCCTATTTGGGACGACAACCTCTCTTTTTGCTAAAATCGGTGCGTGTGGATACCTGCGCGCATGTGCCAGGGCCGTTGAGGCAGAAAGGGAGCGCACGTTTGATGGTCGATCCCGTGGCTCCCCTCGGGTGACTGAGGGGCGCATAGATATATGCTAGCAGTATTTCCCACGTACAGCTGCCCTGCCGCCACGGCGCACCCGAAAGCACCGCCTCGTTGCCGCCGCGCCGCCGGGAGCGCAACAATGAGCAGCGAGCGGCGAGCTTGCGCGGCATGCAGCCGTTTCCTAGCTTACATGGCAGCATCAGAGTTCTGAAGTTCCTTGCATAGGTGCAGAACGCCATTTTTTGAAAACTAGGGACGCACTAGGGTTGTTGCGGCTGTCTTGCCTTGCCTTTGCCCGGGTGCCTGGGCACAACGCGACACAACTCACCAACAGGCTTACCCTTCGTCCATCATCGCCCCCTTCCCACTCTGCAGTGTATGAGCTGGAGTCTGTTGGCTTGGATGGCAAACCCAAGCTGTTTCAGAAGCCATGGGCTATGACCCTCACAATGTTCCTGGGTGGGTAGATGCGGCCCGTGTCCCAAGGCTCGAAGCATGCAAACACAGGGCAAGGAGAGGGGGCACGGAGGCCAGGTCCCAGGCAGCCGTGGCAAGCCGCTCGAGGCCCTTGGCAACCTGATGCTGCCTCTCAGCACTGCACTCTGCACTGCGGGCGCCCTTGCGCCTACGTCCAGGCCTCGACTTGTTGCGCGCACCCGTACCCAACACACCCCAACACAAGCCCTAGCCGTTAAACCCCAACTCGTCGTAAACGCAACAACCCCTTTGATGACAGGCATGACGTTATGCCTGCCGCTGGCGTACTACAGAGAACACCTGCAAAAGAAGGAGCGGGAGAGCAAGGGCCTGGACGAGCCGCTCCTAGAGGTGCAGGCGGCCGCCTTTGGCTTAGAAATAGGAAAGATAGAGGGTCGCTGGCAGCCTGATGGACGAAGCCCCGGCATGGGGCCGCCAATTGGCGGCGGCGGCACGTGCACGGCATTGGCTGCCGCGCGCCCGCTGCCGCGCGGACGGAGTGGCCGCTGTGGGGGTGCGAGCGCGTCGGCACAGTTGTAAAACTGGTACGGTGCCTCTTCCACGCAGCCCCTGCAAACAGCTCCACTATGCACTCACCTCCACCACCATCGTCCCCACCCCCGGCACCGGCCCCATCAAGGGCGCCCCCGAGGGCCAGCTGCGGAAGGGCAGCCTGCGCGAGACGCTGCTGCTGAGCATCCCCTCGTTCTTCGACCTGGTCGCGACCGTCCTCATGAACATCGGGCTGCTGTCCGTGACCGCGAGCGTGTACCAGATGATGCGCGGCGCGGAGATGCTCTTCGCGGCGCTGTTCACCGTGGTGTTCCTGCACCGCCACCTGAACAAGTTCCACTACTTGGGCATCACATGCTGCGGGGTGGGTGAAGTGAGGTGTGAATGTGCGCGTGAACTCGACTGAGTCGAACATGGCCTGATATTCAAAGGGGCAGAAAATCCCCAATACCTCCTCACGCTTGCGCCCTGTCAGCACATGAAGCAGTGGGGCAGTTGTCCACCTGCCCTTATGTGGTTGATTCTGACCTGCTTTGGCTACCGCGTCATCCCCGGCGCGCTCTGCCCCACCCTCTCCAGGTGGGCATCGCCCTGGTGGGCATGAGCAGCATCTTCAGCGGCGAGGGCAGCAGCACGCACCCGGTGTCCACGCAGCAGATGCTGGCGGGCATGGGGCTCATCGTGCTGTCACAGGTCAGTGGCGCCAGCTGGATCAGACGGTGCAGTTTTTTATTGCACGGGGGCTGCGAGTGTGCTTTGCGTGTGTGAAGGAGGCTTGTCAGGGGGCGTTCGCCAGCAGTGGGCATGGAAGCAGGTTTCAGTGTCCGTGACAGCCTGGTAGCCGAATGCTTTGCTCGCACATTCCCTGGCTTTGCAAGCGAACTATGGCTGTCTACCTGATGGCCCTTATGGCACCCATGAGCGCACAACGCGTGGTTGCACGTAGACATGGCAATACACGCAGACTGGCGCATGCCCTGTCCTCGCTCGCCCCCGCAGGCCGTCCAAGCCGCCCAACTGACATTCGAGGACTTCTTTATGGCTGACCTAGGTGGGTACGCTGAGGGTGCGAGGCACAAGCATGGCATTGCGTAGGTCGCGACGGGGCAGCTCAGGGCAGCTCCCACAGCCGGCGTCAAGCGGTAAATGGAGATCTGGGCGGACGGACCTGCCCCTGTCGTTCGATCACACGGCCATGCACTTACGTGCGGCACACACTTTAAGCAAGCATGTCAACCCGTGTGAGAACCCCCTTGCGGTGCCCCCTCACCACACAGACATGGACCCGATGAAGATCGTGGGTTTCGAGGGCGTGTTTGGCAGCATCCTCATGATCTTCGTTATGATGCCCACGGCCTACTTCCTGCCCGGCGGCGAGGGCACGGGCCTGCATGAGAACACGTTTGACACCTTTGCCATGATCAAGAACAGCGGGACGCTGCAGGCGGTGCTGCTGATTGACATGTTTGCGCTGCTGGCGTACAACATGTGAGTGGGGGGTGGGTACATGTGGGGGCCCAGGTGTGTGTGTGTGTGTGTATGTGTGTGTGAGAGAGAGAGAGAGAGACAGAGACAGAGAGAACGAGAGAGAGAGAGAGAGAGAGAGAGAGTGTGTGTGTGTGTGTGTGTGTGTGTGTTAATGTTCGCGGAAGAGCGCATGTGCATGCGCGCTGGCACCTGCACGCAATTCGGCATTCGTCATCGGGGTGTGTCATGATCACGTCTTGATTGGGAGAGGCACTACCGGCCTGCACAAACTTCAAGTGGTCAGGATGACGTGCTTGCATGTGGGTTGGATTCCTCAAGGATAGCTTCACTCCAACTGCCCGTTCGTTGCCAACATACTCAAGGTGCATGCAACCTCCACGCTTGCTCACAACGCTCCCAGAAGATAGGGGTTCTCATCAAGACATGCCTTCCACCCCACAACACCAACCATATATGAAGACCTACACCCCCCAGCCTGCATTGAACATTGCCCTTACTGCCAAGCACTAGCGGCGCCCTCAGCTGGCACTGCGCTGCCAAACCCACCCTACCCATGACCCCCCCAAACACACACACACACACACACACACACACTGTCTCAAACTGCCACCTCATCAACGCCCCCGCCCTGGCCTGACCCAGATCCGGCATGATGGTGACTGGCCACCTGGGCGCCGTGTTCCGCACCGTCCTGGAGACCATGCGCACCCTCTTTGTCTGGATCCTGGGGCTCATCCTATTCTACACGCCCCTGGGGATGGGCCGCCTGGGGGAGAGCTGGACGGCATGGTCACCCCTGCAGGCACTCGGGTGGGTGCAGGGTGCTGCACGCGGGCGGGCCGCAGGCCGCGCTTTCGGGCTATGGGCGGCGTTTGGCCACGCGCGGCGGCCGCTCAATGTGCGAGAGTTGGGCGCCGCGCTTGCAGGCGCGGCCGCGGTCGCACCCGCGCCTCGGCACTGCCGCTGCTGTCGCATACGCCATGCATGCCTGTCTGGAGCCTCAATTGCGAGGAGAATTCCTTGTATCCATTGCAGTTGACCAGTCACATGTGATGACTGACCCGCAGGTTCGTCATCTTGGTTGCCGGCACGCTGGTGTATGGCAAGGGTGATGAGGAGGCGGACGATGCTGACGTCATCGAGGGCGGCCTGGAGGGCACAGGAACCGCAGCCGCCGCCGACGAGGAATCCGCCCCCCTCATCGCCCCCAGCACCACCGCCGCCGCCGTATCCCAGCCGATCCCCGCGCGCGCGGCGCCGGTGAGCGTCCCCGTCGGCATCCGCGCGGCGTCGCCGCACCACGGGTCGCTGCTGGCGAGCAGCATTAGGGCGACGCAGACGATCACGCACGGCAGCTACAGCCGCAGCGTGCCCCGCGGGTCTCTGGGGCGGCCGGGCCTGATGGCGCGGGTCGCACGGGGCGGGGAGGACGAGGAGGAGTGAGGGCGGCACGGCTGCACACGGCGCGCACGCGCGCTGCTTCAAAACCAGCGTCGCCAGCCTGCGCGGAGGGCACAAGGGAGGCGTGCCTCAGCGCCTGCGGCTTGCACTGTTGGATGCGTGATCAGGAGTACGGCTGGCATGAGTGTGGGGTGGTTTGATTGTAGCTTGCTGGCCACAAACCTGGCTGCCTAGAAAAGCTGCCAGTGGCCCGTGATGCACAAACGGATTTGCTGAGCAGGGCCGGCGCAACGGCGAGGCGCGGCCGGCTGCGGGACGGGCTGCATGAACAGCGGCGGAGCGCCACGTGCCGCTTGCGATTGAAGGCGTCTGGTTTTCTGAGCCTGTTTCGTCTTGCTCCTTGCTGCCGGCACGGTCCTCAGCACAGCGACAGCGCGGCAGCGGACGCTGCGGCGGCACACACCGCCTTGATGACGGCCTTTTGCTTATTAGTCATGAAAGGTCGGTGCTTCCTCGGCAGCGCCTGCATGCGGGCGGCGTTTGACAAACTGTGCCATTCGCAAGAATGAATCGATATTTGAACACAAATTCAGTAAAAATGTGAGGCTCGTTGCTTGTGCGGCGCGCAACGAGCGCTGTGGGGTCCAGTCCAGTGAACACTGCATGATGGAGTCCACCTCGCAGACGCCATCCACTGCGCACAACACATGCAGTGACAGCGCAGAGACGTTTGGGACACCACATCCTGAAAAGCATGCGGCCTCGCCCCTCCTGTGTGGGTGGACGAGCCTCCCTTGGCAGTCCGTGCCGCACACGAGGCCCGGTCCCTGTGGTTGCACGACAACATGCCCCGTACATTGTCAAGTGCTCAACGGGAGGACTGGGATCAAGCGCGCTCACTTGCATGATCAGCAGCTTTGTGAAGGGCCTCGGAGCGGCGGCACCTGCATACTACAGTAAAACATGGCAGTGGGGCCCCAGGTGCCGTCGTGCCGATTGGATTGGGGCCGAGGCAGGGTGACCGCGAGGCAGCAGTTGTTGTAGCATGTGCCTATGCCGTACCACAGTTTGAGATGTGTACATGGGTGCAATCACGGCCACGCATGCCAACGTGGCAGCCCCGCCACTTCCCTCGCAGGACAACGTGAGACCCGTCACCGCAGTTCGTTTAATAACACCGCTTTCTCAAAGGATTATTTCGAACTTGATTTTCTTGCTGTTTGACCAACGATCTTTGATCTACACAAGCCGCGATGCAGACCTCCATGCGCGGAAGTGGGCTGCGGAGTCACTTTATGGGTGCTCAGAGGGTGAGTGAGGACTCTTGGTGCCGTCAGGTCAGCCAATGAGGAGCGCGTGGCTGCCTGGCCAAGTCGCGCCAGCTCTGCAGCAGCAGGAGCTCCGTTGCCCGCGCTGCAGCGGCACGACATGCACCCGTGACATGACCTTGTTGAAGCTGCATAACATTAGATCCATCTGCTGTAGCTTCACTCCCCTTCTCTGTCCTGTTCGATCCCTGAAACAGGCATCGCTCGTGCGCCCTGTCGCCGCCAGCCGCACCAGGCAGCAGGTGGCCACCCAGGCCCTCTTCGGTTTTGGCGCAAAGAAGGAGGACGCTGGCGCAGCCCCCAAGGTAAGCGCTCGCGGGCTACTGCTACCATGCGCGCTGCAGCGGGGCCAATGCATGCACACACATGGACCCGTGCGCACCGATGTACACACATGCAAACACACGTGCGCGCTGGCAAATCAAAACCTTTTGCTTGCTTTGTGGGGTTGGCTAAGGCCAAACATCACCCTCCTTAGCTATCCATTGCCGCCTGGTAACCCTTACATACAAGCAAGCCGATACGTCAGGGGAAATCCTTGCAGTCACACACGCAAGCACGCACAACGCACAATCACAGCTCTACATCTGCATCCAATGCGGCTGGATTTACGATGGGGACTTCCCAAAGGCCCCTGGCTCCTTCAAGTGCCCGGTGGGTCATTAGTCGCGGCTGGCTGCATGTAGGGCGTTTGCGCAAGGGTGTGTCTATGTGGTGGGGGGTGGGAAGGGTGGGTGCATGGGTGTGCTCAAGTGCTGTGCGTTGGAGAGCAGCAGCAGAACACCACATTATTTTGATGAGATCGTTTTTGTTGCACGCACTTTCCACACTTGCCATCCGTGCCGCATCCCGCGCTGGACATCCTGGTCAAACGGAAACCACCCGCTGTGCGCCCCGCAACCACCGCAGGCTTGCCAGGCCCCCAAGTCCAGGTGCGAACGATGCGTCCTGAAGGTTTGCCGCGTCCACCCGTCCGGGACTTGGGCTGTCGGTGATCAGAATTGCGCCATCAGCGCTGCAGTTCGCATCGCCCGGCTGCCACACCTTGGAACCACCGGCATTGCAGGCCCTGAGGGCGCCGCATGCTCGGCTCTCAACCCACCCACCGCCCTGTGGTGGCTTCCACAAAAGTGACGCTCAAAAACCCCCGCACCAAATGCTGCGCAACCGCCCAGGTTCAAGATCTACAAGGGCAAGCTCTCCGGCAAGGTCAGCAACACCGGCGCCGCCATGAAGCAGCGCTTCCAGGCTAAGCAGTGGTGAAGCCGCATGACCAGCTATCGGCCGCCCGCCCAAAGCCCGTCTCTTAATAACTTGCTAGTGCAGGCACGGCAGTGCTGCCATGCGCTTTGCAAGCACTTGGCACTTGGGGTAGAGTGATGCCGCTGCCGGCCCTCAGCGCCTCCTTTATGCATTGTGCAAGCAACACATGAGCGCGACCTGCTCGCCTGCGTTGGTGGGCATGGTGCGTGCACGCGCGTGACAGCTTGTCGGCAAAGCAAGACCATGCGCCTGTGGACCAGTAGCTTCAGCAGCCTTGTAGTTTGTGCCAGTCACTTCACAATCAACCCGCTTTCGCCAACCAGCAAGGCAACTCTCTCTGGAGCTGCTTTGCAACTCATGACTTGCTCCTGTAAGAAGTAGTCGCTTGCTTCCATCATGGACGGGCCAGCATTGGCAAGCTGGAAGGTTTTTTTTACCTGCGCTGGGGCTAGCATCGAATTTCACACTACACCAGCTGGCCTGCTGCTCAAGTCAGAGGTGGAGCGAGGGCAGGTGTGAGCAGGTTCCATACTAATCCTGTGCATGCACACGTGTACTCCCAAGGACCTCGCGCTTCTAGTGTGGCGCCAGGAGGCTACATACATGAATTGCTTGTCGGGCCATTGTCTGGTCGCATATCAGGCATGTAGGCTACGACTCAGGCCACTTTGGGAAGGGAAAGGGGTTGGCCCAACGAAAGGCAGCCAGACCAGATGCATGGAAGCCTAGGTTTGACTGGCTGCAGTCGACAGCAGGACGGTCACTTGGCAAGGCGAGGCAGGGTTTCCTGTACAAATCTGTCTGGGGCGGATGCGCATATTTGCCTTGTCTGCAGAGTTGATACAGGGGGGTCAGCGAGAAGGCGGTTGCAGGCAGCACGCACAGGAATCCATTTGCGCTTTATTGGAGCATAGCATGATGCACGGCCAGTTCCCTGCGGCCCACCCCGAACGGGCAGCGATTAGGCTTCTATGCATCGGCAGCGAAGGGCGTCCGGCGTGCCCTCAACGTGCCCCGTGCCAATCCCCCGCTTGGGCCATCCTTGCTATCTCTCTTGATCCCCTTATTGATGTTTCACAATCATCACAAAGTCCTGGGCAGGATCGATTGCTCGGACAGGCAGGTGGATCAAAGGGTGAAGTATGCGGTGCAATGCTAGGTGAAGCCTTTGATCTTGTTGGACATTGAAAGAACGGAATCGTTCTCAAATAATAGCAACGAGACCCGTTGCAGCTCGGAATGGACAGCGGGTGACCCCGTCATCGTGCTCCCCTCGTCCAGCTCGAACCTTCCTCGACCTCCGTGTTAGCCTTTATCAACGGCTGCCCCATTGCGTGTGCTGCAATAGTATCTGTACGTCTTGACCGAGATGTTGCGGCAGTTTCAGGGGGCGTCGACTGGGGCGCAATTGGGGCTGCCACCAGGCACAGGCAGATGTGCGCATCAGAAGGCTCGGTATGGCCACACCCCGTTGCCCCTTTCCATGCGCACACCTGAGCACAAAGTGCCACGCCGCCATCTTGCTGCAAGGACGAGCTGGGCGCTCGAGGTGCCGACCAACAGTGTCAGCGCCGCCAGCAACCCCGGCTGTTCAACATTTCCAGGCGTCATGCTCAAGCTGGTTTCTTTTCACCCAGCCATAGCATCCATCGTGCTCTTGGTGCGCCGGTTGGGGCAGAAAAGGTGCTGTTGAACATCGTCGATCATATAACCTGTGCCTCGACACACAAGTGCTTTGCTGCGAGCCCATCCGCCAAGCGACCAATGAGCGCTTTGATGCCAACCGCCGGCCAGCATTGTGCAACGCTGGCCTCGCCAATGTCTCCAACGCTGGCTCTCCTGATTACTGCTCGGCCTGCGATGTGCGTCGTGATCAACGTGCACGTTGCAGTCTGCAGATGCAGTTGCTGAGGCGGCCACCGCGCTGTTGAGGGCGTCTGTAAGCATGGCAACAGGGACGACGACAGCGAGCCCTTCACCTGCCGCGCGAGTGAGCTTTCATGGTGGTACCAGTCAATGCGTGTGCATGTTTTTCTTGCCAATAATACGCATTGGTTACTGTTTTGGGACGTCTAGTGATGCAGCCTCTGCTCCTTCTCCCGTGTACCCTGTGCTGGTCCTTGGGGGCTACCCACCAGCCAGGCAGGCATGACGAGCTCTGCGTCTGCAGATGTTGCAGGAATTCAAATGCGTAAACACGCGCAGTGACGCAGGTACATGCCTGGGGATGAAGGACACCACAGGTCCATTTCTGCGGTCCATAGCGCAGCTAATACACAGCCCAGCCAAAGCCCTGCTGTTCCTCTGCAGCAGAAGTCCTTGCCTCACCGCCAAGAAATCCCCTGCCTGCCCTGGCGCCGTTCAAGACCACAGGACATCGACAACCACAGCGCTCCTCTGGACCTCCAATCAGATGGCACCCCCGCCGCTGCCCACTGCTGTGAAGCTAGGGGCCAGATCGACCCCTTGGTCCTGGCCGACGCCATCGCCGCCGCCACAGGCATGGTGCGCCGTTCCACGCAGCTGCTGCAGCCGCCACCGCCGCCGCCGCGGGCGTCAAGCGTCGACGTCCGCTTCTCTGTCACTGCGCAGCTCCATTATGGGGAGCAGGTGGCGGTGGTTGGGGACGCCCCGGAGCTGGGGGCATGGTTCCCAGGAGCTGCCCGCCGCCTGACGTGGACAGAGGGCCACGTCTGGACAGGAGAGGTTGAGGTGGCAGCTGCCAGGAAGTCTCTGGAGTTCAAATTCATTGTGCTGGGCGACGACGGAGGAGAGTCGTGCTGGGAACCCGGGCGAAACAGGGCGATGCAGCTGCCGCCCGCGGGGCGCAGGCTGGTTATCGCAGCGCCCGCATGGGGCGACCCCGCATGCGTGCTGCAGGTGGTGGAGCCGCTGCAGCTCTCGGAGTGGGCCGCGGCAGCAAATGAAGTAGCAGGTGTCATAATCAACAGCGGCCGCATCCAGCAGCATCGCCAGCCCCAGCAAAAGGGACAGCCGGACCCCGTCCCCGGCAACGGTGCGCCACCCACTGCAGCAGATACAGGTTCAGAGACAGCACCACCCACCGGGGGGCATGTTGCACAGCAGCCGCCCCCACCCCAGCCGCCGCCACAGTCCTCGCCCCCGCCGCCGCAGCAGCAGCAGCAGCCGCAGCAGCAGCAGCAGCAGCAGCAGCAGCAGCAGCAGCAGCAGCAGCAGCCATCGCGCGACGAGGCCGAGCTCCACGCTGAGATGCTTGCGCTGCGTCGAGACGCAGCCAACATCGTATCAGAGCTTGGAGCCCTGCGGGAGGCCATGGGGCGGCGCCTGGCGGCGCTGCAGGCGGGGCAGAAGCTTCTCGCGCGCGTGACGGCCGCTCAAATCGTGTCGAGCGTCCCCGGCCCGGCAGGTCGCGTGCGCCGCGGCCGGCGGCGGCGCGCGCGTGCCGCACGGCTGGCGGCAGCGGGGGAAGAGCACGCGGCGCCCGCAGGAGCGGCGCCGGACGCTGCAGTCGGCAGCAGTGACGAGCACAGGGCGCCGATGGCAGATCTGGGGGCGAGGGGCGGCGCGGGTTTTGACGATTGTGCGTGGCGGCGGCAGTGGCGGGCGAGGCGCGTGGCGACCCGGCTGTGAGCGGCAGTGGGATTGTGGCGCAGGGCAGGCACGCCTGTTGCCCGCGGCCAGTGTGGTGCCTGATCAGGCGGTCCATTGGTCACCAGACACACCAGCAATGCTCATTGTGTTTGTGCAGTTCCCGTTGTGTGCATTGTTGATGGTCTGAGTTTAGCTTCAGTCCGCCTGCTTTCCTGTGAGCCGGTCTGCAGGCTTTTCCAAAGATATTCTGTGCGCAGGGTTTGTTCCACCACTCCCATCATTCCAGCAGCATTGCTGGGTATATCTCAAGCCTGAACCCCAGTCTACCTGGTCTGGGTGCATGGCGCTGGCAGCTGCCTTGCTTGCGGGGCTACTGCGCTCCTGAACACGCATGCGGCGCCTTGTGCTGGCTGCAGGAAAGTACTGTACAAGATCAGTCTGAATCAACTCGATGATTGACTCCGGCAGTTTGAGGGGGGGCGAAGGGAAACACGCACGGGCACGGGCACCACCCTGGTAGCCCTGTACGGTAATCCGGCATGCAGGTGCTGTGGGAGGTGTGCCGGTCCTGGCCACGGCCAGCAGCTTGCATTGGGTGTGAGGGGGTGATGAGGCTTCCCACGTTGCGTGATGGTGGGGGCTCGCTCCACTGAGCTTTGAGGCATCAAGACATGGAGGGCAGTCCCTGTGCGGCACACTCCCAGCAGCGTGAGGCAACGCAGTCGTGGTTTGTCAGGCATATGAAATGGCTATTGTGTCATGACGTCCAATCTAGCAGCCCTTTTCTGAGGATCTGGGTGCTGGGCAGTGAGGAAATGAAGGCCTTGCGTGTGGAGCGATTGCCGCAACACCCGCCTCCACACCGGTTTCCCTCGCCTGCTGCCAGAGCCCCCGCCGGTTCGGCAAACCTGTCGGCGGGGTGTGCACGACATGATCACATTTGCTTGATACACAGTTTGTGGATTGCCTCGTGGCCCGCGCGTGGCCAATCGGTAGAGTTGGCCCCGCGGGTGAGCGTGGGTGACAATTTCATCGACCAGCAACCCAACGGCGAGATGCAACCCCGAATTATGTGATCGTTCAGGCGCTTTCAATCCGCGTACTCGCGCCTGACCAGGAGCCGGCGTTTCGACGATTTTCGTCTGTGGGAGCGAGAGACACTCGAGTCTTCTAGTGCTTCGTCAACGAGCTTCGCCACTCTCCACCTCTCGCTGTGCTGCGAAGATCGCTTTCTCTCTCGACCTTGCAATGCTGCGCCAGTTTCAGGGCGCGAGGCATTGTGCGCGACCGGGGTTGCCCGCCGGCACGAGCGCCGCCGCCGCGGTGTGCCTCTCCGCGAGCCCGTGCATCCGCACAGCAAGGCGCCGCCGCCATGCTGCGAGGGTGAGCTCGAGCCGCGAGGAGCCGACCAGTGGCGCGGGTGCCACTGTCGACGGCGGCAATCCGCTGCTCCCCAGCGCCGTGTTTGAACTGCTGACGTCCCACCCCGCTGTCGTGTCAATGGCACTCTTGGTGCGTCAGCCAGGGCTAGGGGCCCGCTGCGCACAACGGTTGCCCGCTTGCTGCAGATCACCCCCTTGGGATGCGCAGCGCATGGCACAACCCGCACGGAGATATTGCAAGTGCGCCCTGCCTGCGAACGCGACCAACCCTCTCACGCGTGCTCGCCCCCTTCTCGGCCGCACACCGCCCGCAACCGCGCGACACAGCCCCACAACAGGATTGCCAGCGCGGCCGCAGCGCTGGTGAGAGCCGCCCGGGCGCACGGGAGGCGGCATGCGTGTGCGGGACGAAACCGGGCCACCAACGGCACGTGCGAGTGTGTGCCGCTGCCGAGACCAGAATGAGCAGAGACGACAACAGAGTGCCTGCATACGACCTGCGTGCAAGCTTTTGCTTTGGTGGAAGCTGCACAGTCATTGGCGCCAGGGCGCACGGCTCCGGCCCTGTCTGGCGCCACAGAACTTATTATCCTCAGGGGCCAATCCACTCTGATTACACAACACCTGCACCGTCGCAGAGCCCACCGCAGCATCAACCCCTCTTGCCCATGCCCTGTCGTGCACCACCCACTTACCCAACCCCCCAGGTCCAGCGCGGCGACCACCCACGCCCCACCCGCAAGGTCCCGCCGCCCACTGTGGCCGCAGACGCCCTCCGCCGCAGCCCCCTGATGCTGGACCTGCCCAGCGACCACCCGGGCCTCAGCACCCTCCACGGCCTGGTGCGCGACCAACACACGACAGCCGGCGCGCCTGAAGACTTGTTGGGACGCGACTTGCGCTGAAATCGAGCCGCGAAGCGGACTGTCGCCAGCCTGCTGTTTTGCATTCAGAGGCTCAGTGGGAGCTCAGCGTCGCGGCCGGGAGTGAAAACGGGCGGCGGTCGCGGCATTGCCGTGCAGAGTGTGCGCTGTCAAGACGAGCCCTCGCAGCTGCGGGTCCTTCCGCCTCTGCACGCACGGCTGCAGCGAGGCGATTTGGAATGACAAGCATGATCACTAGCCCTGAGTTGTCAGCGATACCTCTGAATCACAACACAAACTTGTGTTCGGGCCCGCACACCCTACCCTCGCACGCGTGCCTGCGTGAGCAGTCTGAGGACGCCGTGCTGGCCGCTGTTGTGAGGCTGATTAGGGCGCAGGGCCTGCTTGAGGCCAAGTCCATGGTGCTGGCGGATGCATCGGTGAGGCGGGAGGCGGGGCGCAACGGGTTGCGCTGCTGCCGCTCGCAGACGAGGTTCCTCGCTCCAAATCACTGTGGTGGACCCTAGATTTGGGTTTCACAACACGCACATGCTTTGTGTCTCACGTTTCTATTCACTGCCCTGCTATTGCGCTGCATGGAGTCGCACAGCACTCGCTTGCGATTGGATGCGGATCCCCTTCCTCTCCGTCCCCGCCGCCGCCCAAACCTGAATGTCGGCGTTCCTCGTGTTGTGCTGTGCACCCCCCCCCTTCAGGTGCTGCTGCGTGACCTGGCATGGCTCTGGACCTCAGACGACGACGAGGCCGCAGAGGCCAGCGCCAGCGCCCTCGCCTCGCAAGACGCCGGGGCGCTCGTCGCCGCGGCGGCGGCCGCTGCTGCTGCCGCTGCGGCCCCTGTTGGGTATGACGAGCATCTCGGCCTGGAGGCGCCGCCTCGTTCGGTGAGTGGTGTCATGCGCGGCACGAGGTGTGCCGCAACCTTGGGTGTGTCTACACGTCGCAAGGGGGCGCAGGTTTGGCGCAATCAGGATGACGAGGGACGGGATACGTCCTTACGTATCACCAGGTGATACGACCACACCTTTGATGAGCTCGCCGCTGCGCCCCAGCTGCTCGCATCCCTCCTCCCAACGCCCCCTCCGATTGGTTCTCTCGATTTGCGTCTTAACCCCCGCAGGGCGATGACGGCGGCGACTCCCTAGGCAGCGGCCCGGCCGCTGCTCACCACGCAGGCGCGAGGGATTCCACAAACGCGTCGGCTCTCGGGGACGCCATCGCTGCTGCAGCGGGGTCGGCGCGCCGGCCGTCGCAGCAGCCAGCGACGAACGTCGACGTCCGCTTCTCTGTTACAGCGGAGCTCAGGTTTGGGGAGCAGGTGGCGGTGGTCGGGGACGCCCCGGAGCTGGGGGCGTGGTCCCCGGAAGCTGCCCGCCGCCTGACGTGGTCAGAGGGTCACGTCTGGACAGGAGAGGTCGAGGTGGCAGCTGCCAGGAAGTCGCTGGAGTTCAAGTTCATCGTGCTGGGCGAGAGCGGCGCGGCGGAGCGCTGGGAGCCGGGGCAGAACCGGGCGGCGCCGCTGCCGGCCGCGGGCCACAGGCTGGCCGTGACTGCGGCTGCGTGGGGTGACTCTGCGTGCACGCTGGAGCTGTTGGCGCCGCCGCAGCTCCCGGAGCCAGAACCAGCGGTCGAGGCGGAGGCGGAGGCAGAGGCAGAGGCGGAGTCGGACTTGATCAGCAGCAACGGCCGCATCTCGCAGCAGCCGCAGGAACAGCAGCATGAGCCGCCAGCCGCGGTGCAGGGTCAGGCGGCTGCGCCGCACCATGACGGCCCGGTCGGTCAGCAGCGGCAGGAGCAGGACCAGGAGCAGGAGCAGGACAAGCAGCATCAACAAGAGCAGCCGGAGCAGCAGCTGCAGCAGGAGCTGCCGCAGCAGGAGCAGCAGGAGCAGCCGCAGCAGGAGGAGCAGCAGGAGCAGCAGCTGCAGCTGCAGCACCAGCCGCAGCAGGGCGACGAGGCCGCGCTGCGTGAGCAGGTGCTCGAGCTGCGCCAGGACACCGCCAGCATCGTATCTGAGCTGGAGGCCTTGAGGGACGCCACCGCGCACCGCCTGGCGGCGCTGCAGGACGGGCAGAAGCTTCTCGCCCGCGTGGCGGCCACCCAGATGCTCTCCACTGTCCCCGGCGTCGCGGGCCGCCGGCTGCGCGACCGCCGGCGGCGCGCGCGCGCGGCGCGGCTGGGGGCGATCGGGGAGGAGCGCGCGGCGCTGTCGGCAGGCGCGCCGCGGGGGGAGTCGGGCGGCGGCGAGGACGAGCCCGGGGCTCTGCTGGCGCCGGAGGGGGGCGAGGGCGGCGAGGTGGTCGATAACGATGCGTGGCGGCGGCAGTGGCGGGCGCGCCGCGCGGTGAAGCGGGTGTGAGCGACCGTGAGACGAGAACGTTGACCAGGTTTGACCGTTGTTTTAGGCTGGTGCGATTACGACGAGGCGCTCCACTGCAGCTTCCTCGGTGCTTCCAATGAAGCCCTTTTCTGGTCTGGGTGCGGCTGCCATGGCGGCAGTGCCATCCTGGGTGATGCATGCACTGGTTGACGCCGGCAGCGCTCGCATGTCCTGCGGCGCGCAAGCCGCACTCGGCGACGACCCAACTGGCTGCCCGCCTAGCGTTGTCCGAGCACGCATGAGGCGTGTGCGCAGTGCTGGATACCCGGCTCGAGCGCACAAGCCGGTAGCGCTTGAAAGTTGGTTTGCTGCTTAGTTTGAAAAAGCGTTGACTCACCTTGACACCAGACTGCTGAGAGTGGTCTGGGGGCGGCCGCCTTCCCAGGATGCCTGCACTGCTTCCCCGTATCCTTTGGCAGCGCTTGCACATTCTGCAACGCGCAATCCGTGTCAGCGCGGCCGCAGCCCAAAGCCTGCCTAGTCTGGCCTGGGTGCGGCTGCCTGCCCAAGCTGCCTGCACTGCCGCGCATATTTTACTAGGTGTAATTTCAGTGTAACCATCCACTCGACCTGCGGACGCCTGGATGCGGGGCTGTAATATCAAAGCACAGCTGGCTTGCAGGCATGCATGGGTTTGTCCGGTCCTTCCGCGGATGGCAACGCCTCCTTGGCTGTTGGTTTTGCCAGTCATCAACCCGGCAGCCAGTCGTGCAGCCTGAGCTTGGGGGGCGAAGGGGTTGGCGGCTAGTGGGGGTACTTTGGAAAAGGCCTAATGTTGGGAGCCAGGCACCTTGGACGAGGGGAGGGGCCCCCAAGGCTTTTGGGTGGGATCCTCAGTGGGCGCCTCTGAGCTGGCGTCTCTTGTTCCACCAACTGCATTGCGTCGCGATTCTGGTTTGTACACAGGCCCCTGTGATGGCCGGGCTGGCTTGCTTTTGTAGTCGGTGGATGAGTGTGGGTGTTACAGGGGGCCGCGGGGGGTTGGAGGGGGTTGGAGGGGCTGGCAGGGGTCTGATATGCTTTTGTGTGGCATAACGGTGGGATGGAGGGGTTGGGCATGGTCGATTAGGCTGGCTGTGTGCGGCCTGGCGGCGGGACACCGGCCGCAGCTGTAACTTGCATGGGTGACTTGCCAAGGGTCAGTGGTCGCACAAGCCCTGATTCCCGCAGGACGAGGTGCGGCCGTGCTTTGTGCATTCGCTGAGGGTGATGGCAAGCACAGCAGTGGTAGTGCTCATGGACAGAATGGGCCGGCACGCATATGCCAGATGGCAGGAAAAGTGAGTGCCCCCCCCCGGGCGTTGAACCCAGGGTGGATTGGAGTGCCGTGAGGCGAGGCCGAAGCCAGCGCCTGTGGCTAACGATGGGTGGTCCACAGCGTGGACTCTACACAGCCGCGGGGGCTGCGGGCCGGGCGCAAAGACATACCCCTGGTTGAGTTTCACCCCTTCCAGGAGCAAACCCAGCACCGGTTTCGTACAGGGTACAGGTGGCCAACCCCTTCGGGGGATCTTAAGGGAATCCCCATCATACCCCCGGCGGATGTGCAGTTGCACACACGCCGGATTGCGCCACCAGCTCCTGGATCCCCAGCACCTGGGCAGAGAGCGAGGTTGCGGAAGCGCGTCGCGCGTGCGCATGTGCAGCGAGCACCGAGGGTAGCGCTCGGTGTTGCGCTGGCGGTGTCTGCAAGGGCTGCTCTGCTTGGGAGCCGTCATGCATGACCACGACCGCTGCTGAAGTGCCAGCGGTCGAAAGCGCGGTGGCTTGCCAAATGCCACAACTGGACCAGTTTAAGGACTGGCCGCAAATTTCAAATGTCTTGTGCGTACTGGGCCAAGCTTGATGACGAGTGGAGTTGAAGGGAGAAGGGGACGAGGGGACGTGTCAAAGCGCACCAGTGCTGCGCGATGGTGAAGTAGCATGAGAAGGGTTTGTAGTCGCTTGTAGGCTCGGAAGAAAAGTCTTGATGATGAACGAAATCAATTGGGAATGACCGTTTGTGGCGTGTTTGTGCGCTTTGCAACTGTCTGCAAAATCCCGTCCGCCCGGCTGACGCACGTTTCTGCGAGCAGGGAAGTGACCCCCGAGTTGGTGAGGCAGCTGCGACCTGAAGCGCTTATCACGCCTGTCAGTGTGCATAACAGCCCTGGAGCTGGGCGTCATGGGCCGGCGTGTTGACCGGCACTGACCAGCAGCAGCGGGTGCTGCACGCGCGAGAGGACCGTGCAAAGCGTGCGTCGCTGCACGCAGCCTGCAAGAAACACAAGATTCTGGCGCATAACTTTGATGTTGGCGTCTACTTTCAGCATGCAGAAGGCGCCTGTACGCATGGTTTGCAGCGGCAGCAGCAGCTGCAGCAGCAGCCGCAGCAGCAGCAGCAGCAGCAGCAGCAGCAGGTACTTGAAGTGCGCTGCGATTGCAATCATCTCCCGCTGCCGCGATCGACACAGCTGCTAGCTGGAGCTGATCTTGGAGATATCGTCCCACCGCCAATGTCACATTTGGCAGCCAAAGTTGGATGGCGCGACCCGACAGCAGCAAGGGCAAGCACAAAAAACCACAAGCCAGTCAGTTCAGTGATTACCTCACGCATCGGCCGGGCTCTAGAGTGCGCGCATGTTGCAAGCCGGCCTGCGAGACCGCGGCGCTGTTTGCAAGTCCAAGGTCATTGGAAAGGGCCCAACGTTCACGCTGCTGGAGTGGCCCATGCACCCGACACAGCAGATCCTGGCCAAGCCGACGACAGGGGAGGGACGGTTCAGGCGCCACATCGCCTGGGGAGACCCAGAGGCGCGCAGCCCGCAGAGCACTGCAAATCTGGAAGTGTTCATTCACCAAAAACAGAATCAAAGCACCCCGAGCACAGCCGAGAGCGCTGCATAACCTCGGCCTCATCAGCTGCTGCTCTGCTTGGCCTTCCACTCCGCAACCCACGCGGCCGCCTCCTGCACGTTCGCCGGCGCCTCCCCCTCCCCGGCCCCAGCGCCCGCCCCGTCGCTGTCCGAGCTACCCCCCGCCGCCGCAGCCGCCGCCGCCGCGACCTCCTCGGCCTTCCGCTTCGCATCCTCGGCCTTGCGCTTCGCCTCTGCCAGCTTAGACCTGACGCCGTCATCCCTGGACTTGACCTCCGCCTCGGCCGCCGCCTCGGCCGCCGCGGCGGCCTCTGCCCTTATCTTCTCGGCCGCGCGGTCCGCCTTGGCCTTCACGTCTGCCGCCGCCGCCGCCCACGCCCTCTCCGCCTCCGCCGCCGCGCGCGCCTTTGCCGCCGCCTCCGCCTCCGCAGCAGCCTCCGCCTCCGCCGCCGCCTTGGACTCCGCGGCCGCCTCCGCCTCGGACGCCGCCTTCTCCTCGGACGCCCTCCGGGCCTCGGACGCCGCAGCCTTGGACTTCGCGAGCGCCTCGGCTTCTGCCGCCGCCTTGGCATCGGAGGCCGTCTTAGCGTCAGCCTCGCGCTCCGCCCTGATGCGGTCCAGTGCGTCCCGCTCCGACTGTTCCTTCTCCGCTGCCGCCGCCAGCTGCTCCTTCGCCGCCGCCTTTGCCACCTCCAGCGCCTCCCGCCGCGCGCCGTCGTCGCGGCCGGCGGCCGCCGCCGGCGCCGCCGCGGGCTTGGGGGTCGTGGC